CATTTGGATGTCTGGATGCCTTAACATTAGCTCCCAAGATAACTGTTGTACAACAGGAAAGGGTGTTTGAATGAGAAGTGCACGCACGCACATACAGTGTGCTATTTAGACAACCCTAAGCATGAGGTCAGGATGAAAACATGTGGTGGAAATATGTTTGGAAGAGTCAGTGCCTATGTCGGTCACCAGGAGTGGGAGGGAGCAGGAGCCAGAAGCTGACAGATTCTCACTCTCTCCCTGCAGCTGAGGTGGCCGCAGCCCGAACAGATTCTCCTGTGACACCAGAGCAGCCTAAGGCTCTCTGTTGGATCTGGAGATGTGGTGGTCACTGCCACCGCTGTACCTGTGCACACTAGCTCCTGCCCTTCAGGTGCTGCCTGCCCGTCCCCCCAGAACTGCGGTGGGGGGATGGGCAGCCAGAAATCAGGCTTGGATCAGGAAATCCAGCACATCCTCACCATTGCGTTTCTGTCCCTTGGCTGCCCCCTCCCTGACCGCTCACTGGTAATACAGCTTTGGAAACATATCTCGTGCTATTTCTTGGCTTTGGAGCATAGTTAGAAGGAGAAAGAAGGAGGGTGTGAAAGGGAGGGGGAGATAGCAGGAGCGAGTAACAGAAAATGAGACTGTACTGCGAGCTTCTTATCCCATCTGGAAGCTGTTTTCCCCCAGTACACTTCACACCCGCTCCCTCTGGGCCAGGATGGTAAGGGTCATGTTTCCCAGTTGACTGGTCCCACTTGCTCAAGCCAGGCCCATCTACGTGAAAGGTACTTGAGATACCTTAAAGGAGAATCTCAGCAGATTTGCAGCCCTTCATTGTCACAATTAGAAGGGCTAATTGTGGGAGCTGGCTGATCTCAGCCTGGCTGGAGGGTGCTCTCAAGGAGGGAGTCTAGGCCTTGAAGAGGCTGTGAGAGGATGAGCCTGCTCTGCTCTTGCATCTCTGTCCATCCCACCTTCATTCACATCCAAGTCCTTTGGACTCTTTCTTGGACCTTCCACCAAGACAGGCCTCTGGTCTGCCGAGGTCTTCGTTGCCACAGTGTCGGCAAGTCTCCCCAAAGCCCAGCACAGTCATTTCATCTACTGGCAGTACATGAAGGCTAAAGCTGTGCTGGCCACAGTCTGGGTGGGAAGTGAGGGCCAGTGGTTGCCAGCACCTCCTTTGCCATGTGACCCTCTAGCCACCGTCCGTTTGGTCAGGTGATAAACCTGCTTCTGTTTATAGCTCAGAAACTTGGAGTGGTGACCCTGCCATGCTCTGCCACGATCCACACTGCCCTGAGACACTGTACCTTGGGACGTGCCATTCCCTGGGGCCTTCCCTTTCACGTGGGTTAAGGAAGATTACGGCTGAAACATTCTCTGAGTTTTGCTGGATAGGTGCAGCTCCCCAGTGAGGCTGGATGGGACAGAATTTGTATATTCAGGGTGAGAAGACTCGATAAACTACTTAGCAGTGGTTTTGATGGCATCTATCCAAAATAAGCTCTGGGCTGCTCCTCACTATATACCCATCATGGTTGGATCTGGACAAGAGGACACTTTTTCCTGTTACTATGTGACAGCATGTATGGCTGTCTTCACTAATCAGAAAGGGAAAGTTAAGCATACCTGTTGGCATCGGGAGAGACCAGAGCCAACCCAAGAGACACAGCAGTCTTCCTGGAACATGGTGCCTTAGCTTCCTGCCTGTCCTGTAATTTCCTTCGTGGATATAGCCAGTTAAAAAGATATGTCTATCTTTCTTCACTTTACCCTTCATTCTTGGGCTTTTCTCAGCCTCTTGCCACCTTCTTTGTGTTAAAGAGCAATCAGCTCTATGACAGCTCTAGGTGATCTCCTTTGAGGGTGTCTGGTCCTTGATGTCCCCTTTGATAATAACCACAGTTATTGCTAATCTCATAGACTAGCTCACTTCTCTCCACCGTCTGTGTTTGGAGATGTGGGACTGGTGTATGTACAATTGGTGAGAGCTGGAAGGGGGCTGCTTTGATGAGAAGGCTTTGCCAGTATTTAGTTGTGCTGTAGGATAAGACCCAGGAGCCCAGAGAAGGGTATGTACCCCAACATTTCTGGATTCCCAGGGAGGGTGTGAGTTTCATTCTCTGCTTATCACCCCTGTTTTTCCTATACTGTGCAGCAGGTCTCTGTCTCTTGGGAGAGGATGGCCCCTTGGGGACCTGAATTCCTGAATCTCCGGAAGAACAGTGCTGCCTTCATTCTCACTTTCAAGCAGCGAGGTCCTCCAGCAAGCCTGCTGTGTGGAGTGTGAAAGGAGAACCAGAAACTTCAATTACTCCTGCCAGTGCTGGTGCCTGTGTTAAGGCTCAGCCACTTGTACTCACTACTCATCTCTCATCCCTTAGCCACTGCTGGGGATATTTTTTGGTTTCAGAATAAAACCAGGAGCACATCTCCACCTCTTCCCTCTGGATAGGTTTGTCCTACAATGGGAAGACTGTTTGACCAAGAGATCTTTGTTCTTTTGGTCAAACAGTCTTGTGAGTGGGATGCTGCTGAAAGATAGTGTGTGCAACTACTGCACAAATGCACCTTCTTGACTCTCTTCACTCCCACCTCTGCCTCTGCTAATGCGCAGTTGTGAAAGAAGTTCGAAGCACATGGCAGTCGCAGACAGCTCTCCCTGCAGCTGTCCACCCAGCTCTGCTTCTCCTCCAGGGTCACATGGAGGTTCTAGTTTTGAGGGTTACAACAGCATATGTGATTTGAGTGCCTCTTGTTCTCTCTCGGCTCTGCTGGGCTGTTGTGGTGCGTTGGCAGCCAGACTCTACATCCCTTCACTCTTCCGTGGTTACGTTCTCACCCTTACCGTAAGGCTATCGTGTTCATATCCTGTGTTTGCTTGTGTTGTTTAGAGAAAGCAAGACAAAGAACAGCTGTTACATGAGCAGGCACTTTCTGGGGTTAATGCTCAGGACTCCAAACCCTTTACCCCTCCGTGCTGTAGGATAGGACAAAACCTGGTTTTCCAGTGCATTTTAGATAAATATCTAACCCAGTTCCGTCTGCTGACTCAGCTCCCTCTGAAGAATGGTTACGCTCACCACAGATGGGAGGTGTTTTCTGTCACTTGATTCAAGTGCAGAAATGCTCCTAGGCAACTTGTAAATGGCTGGGTAGATTTTACCAAGCTACCCTGCCAACTCGGCTTCCCGTATGGGAACAAGTGGAGAAAACTTCAGCCCAGACATCCCAGGGAGGGCCTCAACACTGGGATTTAGCATGAGTTCCTTCTCCACCCTACCTGCAGATGCAGTGTCTGCCCTCCCAGGGGAACTTCCGATGGTGTGTCAGGCTGTCACTCCAGGCAGTGGGAGGACAGGACAAGTGGGAAGGAAGTGAATGGAGAGAAACCTTGGCAAAATGCAAGCGGCAGGGACTCCCCCGACGGCCAGCATGTGCTGTGGACATCTGAGTTTTTAAACTGAGAGGCTGAGGAGGACGCTGGAGGGTGAAGGGCACTAGCGTGTTGGAGGGTGAAGGGCACTGGCATGCTGGAGCTTGCTGCAGCTCACTGTCTCCCTCCCCCACTTGGTGGGAAGCATGGGTCTGTCCCCAGCCTCACCCCAACCCTCTGACAGCCAGAGTAATGTTGACAGAGTGATACCGTGTTCAGGTAAAACAAATATACCTTCCTGTAGGAGCAGGAACCTGTGGACTCCAGCATCCGGGGTCCTCTGGCCAACTCCTCCCTCAGTCCTAGGGCTGGGGAAAGAACAGACTGCACGTCCCCATGCTCGTCTAGGAACCAGGCTCTTTCCTGAGCTCAGCTCTCACCCTGGAATTCATTGGCATTCATGTCTCCACTCTCAGACCTGCGTGCTCTCTCCCACTCTCTCTCATCCACAGCCTGTTGCTCTTGGTATTTCAATATGCTGCTTTCAATGCCTTTCTGCCCACCCAGATGCTTTTCCAGGTCGGGGGTGGGGGGGCCCAGTCTGACTCTGCTGAGCTTTCTCCAGTTCATTTAAGTTACACAGTTCCGTCTGTGTAATATAGTCGCTTGAACGTATATGTCTTTTCTTTCCTCTCTCTGAGCCAGAAGCCTCAATCTGCCAACAAATGGGATAATTTTTCAGCTGGTGTTTGGCAACCATCATTTTTCTCTCTGCCCAACCAATGCTTTGTTGTAGCAAATGGAAAAGTTAGTGATTTGACTTCTGAATAGGAGGATATTCCTCAAAGGAAACAGGTTCCTTGTATCATCAGGAGCCCAGCTCTGCAGCAGCATTGGCCAGATTTACTGACTGTTACTGGAATGATTAGTGGAATGATTGTTTGTTGTTAACAGCCCATCTGTAGTGTTTAAACTTCATCGGGGAGCCGAATTTCACAGGCATTATCTGGCTGGAGGACAGCCTCATATGGTCCACAGAGGGGCTGTGAAATCCCAGAGGAAATTAAATACAACAGGGGGCCTTCCTGTTATGTCGATCCAACTGATCTTTTTTTCTCTGATAGAAATCAGCAGCTGGGTTGATGTTCTCTGGGGCATCAGAGTGCCTATTGCTGCTGGCAGAGAACATGAGAAAGTGTCTGTCACCGAGGACAGGTGCTGAAGACCGTGATTTTCTGCCACACTTGCATTTTGTCATCACAGAGATTTCTTGCCTCATCCTCTCTTCGGCTTGTTGTCACAGTGGGATGATGCTAGGAAGCCGAAGATAGGTACCCACAGAGGAAGGGGGAGATGTGAGAATATAGAAGATTTTCTTGAGTGTTTGTGGCATAGATGAACAGGCAGAGAAGATGTACAGCACCATCACCCTTTCTGTCTTATTTCAAGGTGTTTTTATCAGACTAATGCAGGCAAGGAGTAGGCACTGCTTTTTCCTATCCAAAAAGGGCTGTTGCTGAGGTTTGGCTCTCAGTGCAGAGGAAAGCTCTCAGATCCCTCTTGGAGTTGACACTAATGCTCTCTCTCCCTTTGTCTTCAGCATTTCTCAGAGAACCTGGATCACTTGTCCGACAACATGGAGGATTTCTCCAACGACCTCTTCAGCAGTTTCTTCGATGACCCAGTACTGGCTGAGAAGAACCCACTGCTGGACATGGACCTGGATCCACCCACTCCAGGCATCCAGGCAGAGCACAGCTACTCCCTCAGTGGAGACTCTGCTCCCCAGAGCCCCCTCGTGCCTGTCAAGACTGAAGATAATGCGAACGGTGAGCATGAGACGTGCACGCTGCACAGTTTCGGGCACATCTGTTAGGAGAGGCTCTGGCTGGCTTCCATATGTAAGGACAAACTGGCAATTCCTTGGGCTTGCGCATGGCTAATCCAGGGAAGAATTTGATCTGCCCTTGTCAAATACAGCCCACATTTTTCCTTTCCTGTGCTCTGACAGTCGTGTTGCTCCTTTGCCGGGCTGTTATTTATGAGGATGATAATTGGCTGTGGTGAGGTGTGCTGCCAGCTTCTGGCAAGTAATAGGCAATGTCTCTTTAGGACCCTGCAAACCTGGGCGTGGATGTCCTAGATCCAGGTCTGTTTTGGCATCAGGCAGCAGGGTTTTGGCTTGAATATAGGAAGCATGAGTCTCTGGCTGCAACCAGTGCTGGTACATGTGGAAAGCTAAGTGGCTTCTTTACCAGCAGATCTTTTAACAGGAGACAGAGAGGAACAGTCATTTCGAAACCTATTTTTAAAACAATTCATTTCAGGATAATTTATGATGGCTGGATATTTTTAGAGCCATCCTTGCAGAGAGTCCTGTAATTTGTGGGACTGTGTGGGTGTCCCAACAGCTGATGGACACCAGGCTGCCTGAAAAAGCAGTGGCACAGGCTCAGTATACACAGAAGAAAGTCATTCCTTTGAGTGAGAGTGAGACCTGGGACAGAGGCCTCCCTCTCATGGCCAGGAATGATCCCAGCTTTCTGGTTCAAACGCCAAGACAGGAGGAGAGGATCTGGCCTCCACTGCTTCTTTGGTCCCTGCAAAGGGAGCAGCCGTCAGTGCCACGTTCCTTAGGGGCCATTCAGAGAGGTGCTGGGAGAGAGGCTTATGGCAGGCCAAGCAGGTTCTGCCTTAGTATCAAAAAAGGTTTCCCTTTACATTTCTTTTTCCTTATCTTTAACCCCAGTCAAGTCTTGGAGGGCACTCAGCCCAAACAGGCAATTGGGCAACTAACAAAAACTAGCCCAGCATGGGTGCATAAACACATCTTAATTTCGCCCCTGCAAATGAATCGGAGGAGATGAAGCTTGGGAATGAGAGAAGCCAAAAGCATGAATTTGTCAAAAGCAGTGAGATGAAGTCTGCCTGCATGAAGCTACCTCAGGGACTCCTTGTTGAGACACTTGTCACCACTTCTGCTCCTCTCCTCTGTGTCTGGACATGTCCCTGCTTCAGCTGAACTATTTCCAAGGCAAGACCATGACTGTCCTGAATGGAGCGTGATGCTGATCCTTGAGCAGAGGCCAGCGCAGGGCACATAACCCAGGAGAGCTTGAGATGGGCCTGGCACTTGCTCTCTGAGAGTACACCTCAGCTCTATACAGGGAGCAAGGCCTAGCCTTAATGTGGCAGGCATTGGGGTATCTATGCATGCAGTCCTGCAGCGGGATAATTCAACCCATCTTTCCAGGGGTATCTTGGCTCGTAATTGGACGTGAGTCATATTCTAGTGTAGCCCTGAGTCAGGTCCAGCATTTGCAACACTGTGCAGTCCTTTTGGCACTGCTCCATCCAGTCTCCGTCCTTTTAGACATTCACTTCAAGTTAATTACCCAGGAATGGCTTTTCTTTAACATTAAGCAATGCCCGGGCTCTGTCTAGGCTTGGAGCTGGCTGAGGCTTGTTATTTATCAGCTTTCTCCCAGCTTCTCTGCAGATCTCCAAAACACTTCCAAATCCTCCCCCTTCCCACATGGTTCCCACTAACACGGGTCAGCTAGGGCAAGCCACTGGGTGCATTGTGACCCTGCTTATCAGTGGAGTCTGCTTTCCAGATGGTTTGCACATACGGACTGGCTGCATCAGTTCTCAGTACCAGCTCTCCGTTCTGCAGGACATGATTTGCTGCCAGGAGCAGGGGGAGCCAGGGCTGTGCAGAACAGCGGGTGATGGACCAGCCTCGGGCAAGTGCCCACGCTCCTGTCTAGGTCCTGCTTCCTCACTGCTCTTTGTCTCGCCTCCTCAACCCAGGGCAGCTATGGATATCTTTCTGCTTTTTTCCCATTACGTACAGAGTATCTAAAGCAGAGGATGAGCTTCCTGCCACGCCTCACCCACCAACATACAGTGAAATCTGCAGTGGTTACAGGTTGGCCATACCTCTGAAACCTCCCCTCAGGCATCAGAACATAGATGTGTCCACACAACATGCCTCCTCCTCGGTCCCTCATTGACCCTTTGATGGCTTATGTGTTTCTGATTCTGTAATTGCTCCCCAGATGAATCTCTGAGGGTGGGAAAGAGAGTGGTGTCAGAACATAGACAGGAAATGGGAGGACAGCGCATACTTATTTGGGTGTCTGCTGCTTGGACTGTCTGGACTGACAGCTCTGGGGGCTGTTCTCTCGCCCAGGCAAGTCTGAACGGGGAGAGCCCTTGGTGGTCTGCTCTCCCTAGTCTGGTAACTTGCTCCAGCAGCAGCCCTCCCAGACAGAGGATGCCCCATGCATCTGAGAAAAAGAGAAATGCACGGCTTTGCAATAGAAAGGGAGGATGAGGAAGGTGAGGCTTAAAAGCACAGTAAGGGAACTTCAGATTAGCCGGTAGGCAAAACCTTCCCACAGTGGGCGTAGTGAAACCATCGAAGAGATTTAATGGGAGAAGCTGTGGACTCTTCCTCACTTTTTGGAGAGGTAAGATCAAGTCAGACAACCATCTGTCATGATTGACATGGATTGAACTTGCCTAGAGCAGTGGGGTAGACTGGAAGACTTCTCAAGGTCCCTCATCTCCATGACAGGCTGTGATCCTGTCCAGGTTTTCAGGCTGCAAACCCTTGTGGCTGTGTACCACCTCACCTCCTTCCATCAGAAGGGCTTGTCTGCATACCAGGGGTAACTGGGACTTCACTACCACCTGTGGGTTTGGTGTCCTTAGCAGGACAGAGAAAATGCAATTCAGTCTGTCTGCTCAGCAGCCTCGCTGTTGTCAGGGCTGTGCTGTGCACCCCGGCCTGAGAGGCTGCCGGAGGACATCGGCATTGTGGGAAGCTCTAGGAAGCCATCCAGCAGCTCTGAGAGCAATGCATGCAGCTGATACACACACGGAGCAGCCACTGGAACTCCTGTCTGTGCTTGAAGGTGTGCAGTCACACGGGGAGCTGGAAGGAATGAGCCTCAGCTAGAGACCTCTCTAGGCAGCAGAGTAAGAGATGCTAGACCAAAGACAGGAAGACAACACATTCCACCAGCAAGGGTGACACTGTGTTAACTTCTATAATTCTTGGCCAAGCTTTAACGCTACTGTGTCCAAGCAAAAGCCAGGGGAAGGGTTCTGCCCTGTCCTCTCCTGAGGGCAACAGAGACTGAGTTGGGCAGAGATGATGTTGAGCTACCTTGAAGTTTAGTTCAGATGGCAGCTCCCCATGAACAGCTACTTGCTTGTACTCTGTGCAGGCTGTTCTGGAGCTGAGAAGGGCCTTTCTCCCCCTCTCCTCTTGCTAAGACATCTAGACTGAGACCTGCACTGCAGAGCTGCTTTGAGCAGCAGACAGCCAGGCAACACCCCTGGGTCTCTTGTCTCGTGCAGAGAGCAGTGCAGAGGGGTCGGGAAGTGAGCCTCACGTTGTGGCCTCACGTTGAGCCAACTGGGGCACTACCTGGTGACATACTTAGCAATAGTCCATCCTGTGTCAAGCCAAATGCATTTCTGGTTGTCAGATAAAAAGGGGAAGGGAAGGGATGAGGATTGGGAAGAGGATACAGGCTCCAGGCCAGCTAGGAGTAGCTTTTTGGCAGGATGAAGTGTTTGAAGAGCAACGAGGGGACCAAAACTTCAGAGCAGAGCCCAGGCAGCTCTCCTGACTAGCAGGTTTTTTTCCCATCTGAACTGCAGCTTATCTGCCACTGCCTGAATCCCAGTTCCCAGGATCTCTCCCTCCAGTGATGAGCCAGGCTCACACCACAGACGTACACGGGACAGGGCAGGTGGGGGGCAAGGAGAGAGTGCTCACACAGCTCCTGTTCAGATCTCGTCAGACGCTTCCTTTCCCTTGTTGCTGCTTCTGTCCCGGACAGCAACGGCAGCGGGTCAGGGCTGTAGGCAGCAGTCCCCCTGAGCAGTGTGGGGTGGAGGAGGGTGCCTCAGAGGTGACACTGAGGGGAGCAGCCTCGCAAGCAGGTGCCACATTGGACTTCCTTCCACAGAAATGGACCTTCCTCCTGTCCTGTCGTGCAGCGAAGCTCTGGTACTTGGCACAATGTCGGCGGGAGGCCAAAGCAGCACCGTCAGCCTTTCACTGTCATCGTGGTTGCCCTCTCGCCAGCTCTCTAGCACAGTCACGGTGCTATTCTTGGTAACACACCTGGCAGCTGTGATGCTGGCCACACTGCCTACGGAGTAACAGCCCAGCATCTTCCTCTCACCGTGCTCTAAATATAAATAAGCTCCAGAGGATGAGACCAAGACATCACTGGGGAAAGAAACCCTGCAGCTGTGCTCCAGCGCTCAGGCTGCACAGTCCCGTCTGCTCCCCACACGCTGGGGGTTCGTTCCCTTTTGTACTCTCTGTTGTGGGCCTGCACATGCTTGTGTGGTGACAGTGCTAAACTTGGAAAGGCAGCCTCCCCAGACGGGGGGAAGCTGTCTGCATGGCTTTTTTTTTTTTTCTTTCTTTCTTGTCCTGTTCTTGCTGGAGTTTGACTCTCACGTTGTGCATGTTTCAGAGCTGGAGAATGGAGTGTGGTCGCTGGGGCCCAAGCTCTGCTCCATCATGGTGAAACAGGAACAGAACCTGGCTCTAGACCTGCCTGAGTCCCAGCTAGCTGCCAGCTCCATACCAGTGCTGAACCTCAACCCTCTGCAGAGACTGCCAGTCCCCGAGGAGGTGAGCCCATCTAAGATCCATCGGGAACCCGGGCTCTCACACAGCAGCACCTCTGGTAATGCGGACCCACCCATGTGACTGCAGGGTCCTGCTAAGTGATTTAGCCGCTGGACAGACAGGAGAAAGTGATACAAAGCCTAGATGCTGCATTTGTCATTCTCCTCTTGAAATGGCAGTCAGAGGAGCAGCACCCCTGATGCTACATAGAACTGTGTTCTTGATTCCTGCAGTGGCAGTTTATCTTTCCAGAGAAAACGGTGGAAGGAAGGTGTTCTCCAGCACAGGAGGCTTTGCAATCTCAGTTAAATACAAGATGTTTCCGTGTACACAAAACCCAAAAGCTTGCACATGCTTGAGCCCTGGCTCCTCCAATCTGCCTGTATTTCTACAGCCAGTCTTGGATTGTTTTCATTTTTTGGAGAACGGTGTCAATTAATGTGATGCCAGTGACCCCACTATTCCTGAGTATAGATCCCTGCTCTGCCACTGTCTTTTTCATGGCCTTAGGCTTATCAGAGGTCTCTCACTTTTCTCAGCTGCTCACTGGAAATGGAGGTTCCACTGCGGGTCCTGCTTGCTTTGTCCTATGAAGCATCAGGAATTATTCTAAGAATCAAGGGACCAAGTCTTTTGGTCATATCAAAGTTCTTCATAATTCTGTCTGAAGGAAGCTCACTTATGCCACTGGTATGTGGGTATAAGTTGGGGGCTCAGTTTGGATGGCCTCGAGTCCAGCTGCGTTGGATGGGAAGGTCTGACCAGTCTCACACAGACCTTGGCTATCTCGTAGCAGCTCAGTAGATAACAGTAGAGCATCTCTGGTGCTCACTTCCTTTTTTCACTCATGCTGAGCATCTTCCCATTTAAACAACCATCCAAAACAAATGGGTACTTCCAGCCAACACTGTGCACAAACTTCCTCCATTATTTACACAGCTTGAACTTGCTGTGCCCTCGAAGCTCTGCTGTGTGTGCTCAACAGCGGTACCATGGTGCTCTCTCAGCTGTGTTTACAGTCTGGAGGAGTTTGCAATGTGTCTGTTTAGTGTAAAAACTCCCCCAGCCTATGGTGGGCTGGGGGCTGGCAAGCCAAGGAGCTGAGGGGCAGCATAGCCCAGATGGGAATAAATCCACTCTTTATTTAACTCTCAGTTCCCTCCGATTGGAAACAGCTGCCCAGCAGCCCTGGTGAAAATCATCTGAGCAGGATGGGTCGTTGTTCTGTTTCTGTACAACCTCCATACTCCCATTTTTAATGAAGGCAGATCAAAGAGGGACTTCCTATGGTAATGCATAGGTTGGTTTAAATTGCACTGTCTGGGTCTAGCAAGAGAAGAATTTCCAAGGCTAACAGCCATCTCCCTTTTGGAGGTACTCAGTGCACTACTTGGTAGCATATCCATCTGCCACTGCCTCTTCCTCTGCAAACCTGTGTTTGCACTCTGCGTGCCCAGCAACACAGACTTCAGGGGGCTTATGTTTGGACTCTTGGTTTCTGTTATGTGTGATGAGGGACTGCTTTGGGGCAGAGCTGTGAGACAGGCCAGGACAGAGAGCAGCGGAGCAGCAGCTATAAACAGAACTGGTGGGAGCTCTCTGGACAGGGGAGGTGGCAGCACCCAAGAACTCTTTCTGCTTCTCTTCCACAGACTCCCATAGAAATGACTCCAGCACCTGTGATCAAAGCTGAACCCAAAGAGGTGAACCAGTTTCTAAATGTGCCTGCAGGTAAGAGGATAGAATTTGCTGATTGACTTACGTCCCTCTGTATTACTCAAATATAGATCATTACTGCGCAGGGAGGAAAGACAACACCTGAGAGCAGAGCTGTGTGTACAAGGTAGTACCAGGCCACAGACCAATAGAGATGTGAGCGCTGCACTGTTCCAACCCAGATCAGTGTCTGGACCAGCAGCCATGCACAGAATTGTTCAGACAGGGACTCCCAGGCGAAAACAGGCTACTTCAGAGTTGGAAATATGCAAGAGTGCCTTTTAAATCCTCAGAGAGACTGTAGTGTTATCCAAAAACAACCATCTGAAAGTCAGGAAATTCAGGATCCAGTTTAATTTGAAAGAAACCCAAGCATCTGAAAATCTGCCGATGCACAAATGAAAGCACTATAGGAACTCCCACTGCCACAGAGAGACATTCCTTAGGCATATTCCCACCTCCATTAAGGCCCCCAGGGCTCTCCAGTACAAAGTGGGGACAGTTTTCAAGTGCTTGGAAACCAACTGAGTGACTGGAGCCCATTTGGATCAAGTGTGCTGGCAACTGTGTGAGCCCTGCGGTGCTTTTGGAAGAGCTCTTCCCTTACAAAGCTTCCTGTACTTGTGAACAGGCTACGGAGCAAAACATCACGGGCTTTGTACTCCATTTTGGTTGACACTAGAGTTCCTTATTGCTTTGTAAATACCTTCAGTGTCTTGGCAAAGCCCTCGTTAGCTCTCTGACTCCTGCAATTCCTAGTTTAGCACATTTGAGATCAGCATCACATCTGTCTTGGGCAGTGCTCAGTCCAGCCTTTTTCTCAGACCCCCCTCCCCATCTCGTGAGATTCATCACCCTCTCCTTTCAGTCCTGTGTTATGGTGGTGCCTTTTCCTGTTGCTACTCAGAGCCCTATGCCTGTACCAACAGGCTGACATGAGAGCCACTGACTTGATTTCCTTATTTCTCAGTAGATGACCTTGTGCAGATGCCTCCAACTCCACCCAGCAGCCACGGCAGTGACAGCGACGGATCTCAGAGTCCCCGGTCCCTGCCTCCCTCCAGCCCAGCCCGACCTGCTGCTCGCTCTTCTACTGCCATCTCCTCCTCACCTCTCCTCACAGCACCACACGTAAGGATGCCGCAGGACGCCACTGGGACACAGGGCTCCTTGGTGTTCAGAAGGGTTTGGAGGCTTTCCAAGGCTCATGTAGGGGGATCCTGCCCTTGTTAAGGTCTCCAAGATGAAAAGCTCTGGCAAGGCAATGTGATGTCTTAGCACAAGGATGTGGGGACAGGGTAGTGCTCACAGGAGTGAGGAGTGGTGTGATGAGTCTTGTACAATGCCTACCAGCAGCTACCTTGTTTTAGCAAGTGTTGTCTTTTACCCCACACTCTGGAAAGTAACCTATGCACTGGAAGACTTTCTGAGGGAGGTTAATGGAAGAGAAGGGAATAACTGAGAATTCCCATAACCAGACTGTGTTTTAACTGTCACCACAAAGTTCTTTGGTGGGGTCCTGCAGTGCAAGTGTGTAGCCGGCCTCACTGTGAAGGAACAGATGCCCTCCCAGGTAAAAGAGGAAGGCAGCTGCTGAGTTGTGGCCCCAGGATCAGGCTGAGAGCAGGAAACAACACTGCCCTGCACCTATTTGTCCGGAGCCTCTAGCTGCTCTGCCAGGCTTTAAGGAGGATCACTGCAATAGAACTACTTGCTGACACTGGTGACTGCTCTCTTTGTGTTTCAGAAGTTACAAGGGACCTCTGGCCCGCTGCTCTTGACTGAAGAGGAGAAACGCACCTTGATTGCCGAGGGCTACCCCATTCCTACCAAGCTGCCCCTCACCAAAGCAGAGGAGAAAGCACTGAAGAGGGTCAGGAGGAAAATCAAGAACAAGGTGACTGCAAAAAATGTAACCATGCAGCTCCCATAATTCCAGAGCATTCTCAGCTGACCAGTGCTATAGTTACCCTCACCACCTCAGCTGCAGTGCAGCTCAGAAAAGGTGGGATCCTGCCTTTGGTACACTGGCACGAGCCTCCCAACCCACAGAAATGGTGCCGTGGGGCATGCTCTGCATGTGGCCATATCTGGGAAGTGGGTCTTCCAGCCCAGCTCCTGGGAGTGTGTGGCCTGGGATGGGGCCCACAAGCTAAGGCATCATGGATCAGACAAACTGGCCTGCTCAGGCCTTGCTGTGGGGAGAGGGAAACAAGAGCCATTGCATGGTGCAGGACGGGTGATGCAGAGCCCATTAGCCAGGCAGAGGCTGTGAGACTGCAGACTGTCATTAGAAAGCATCCCATGGGAGAAATGGTGAGACCCTGAATTAGTCATCCAGTGACTCAGGAGTGGTCTGGGTCAGAATCTGCCCAGATGGCCACAGCACATACCCATGTGAGTCAGAGGAGTTCATAGCAGCCCTAAAGATGCTCTCAGCAATGAGGACGTCAAGCATACCGCAACAAATGGTTGTGGCCTGCAGGCCAAAGGAGGCTGCATACCTACAGAATCCATCCCTCTCAGTTTTGGCCTAAAGACCAGTAGGAATGGCAGACTGGAAGGTGACTTCCCCATTTACCTTTAGGGTGCAGTGTGTATAGGGAACAGACAAGATGAGGGAGCCACAAAGAAAGTCTAGAGGCTTATGATGCTGACTCCTCTCTGACGGCTGCCCCCCTCACAGATCTCTGCTCAGGAGAGTCGCAGGAAGAAGAAGGAGTATGTGGAGTGTCTAGAGAAAAAGTAAGTCTCTTCTCCTCAGTCTTACCTTTGAAAAAGGAGCTCTACTCATGCACGGGCCTCCTTTCTAGTGCTTTTGTCTCTGAATTGCTCAAACAGTATGATTCCTCGCAAGGCTGGCTGCACAGAAGTTTGGGTTGGGATCCTGCCCCTACTCCCCTCCCCCCTAGAAATCCTCTTGCAGGATAAAGATTGCTCTAGGAACCTTGTGTTTCCAACTGCTTAGTTTGGCTGGTCCCCTGCAGAACACAGGCCATTTTGGCTGCCTAAAAGGTGGGATTTTGGGCAAGAGTCATATTTCCCCACTAGAAGTTTCTTCTGTTTTATCTGTCCCGTAAGCAGCAGGCGCTCTGAGGGCACTGACCACAGCTCTTCCCCCTCTCTTCCCATAAGGGTGGACACGCAAGCATTTGATAGCAAGAAAAACCTTACACTACAGTTATTCCCCACATTCCTTCCCCTCCTACCATTCCCTGCATGAACTTTGATTTTCTCCTTGCAATTTTGAGGTCCTGCCTGTACGGCAGGCATGAGCCTAAGGTGATATGACACTGGGAGGGTAGACAAGAGCTCTTGAGGGCCCTGATCCTGTGATCCCCTCTGTACTAACAGCCCCTGATGGGCATTCCCAGGCAAAGAAAAACGCAGGGATCCAGGTGCAAATTCACATTTCTGTTTAAATACCAACTTCCCTATTATTAACATCACCTGAGATCAGCAAAATGGAAAAAAACCCCAAACCCAACTTTAATGAACTCTTCTCCCCGATGCTATTTGTTTAAGTTCTCTGAGTGCACAGCAGTGCCGAATAAAAACAGATGACTCAAGGCACCTCAAGTTCTCACGCCCCCCGCATGGGTGGGAGTGTCCAAGCACATCACCTCCAGCTAGTGTCCCACACTGACACCCCGATCCTTCAAGCCGGCGCTGGGGACTTGGAATTGGCTGGCCTCGCTCAAGTGGCAGCTCCCGGCCTTTCCGTGCCGGGGCCTCCTCCCCAGACGTGGCCGTGGTGCCTGTACGTACTCGGCGGTTCGTTACGCTGCTGTGTCGCTGTGACAGATGGCTTTCAAACAGTGCCAGGTTTAAATGGGAACCAAAAGCAGCATTCAGCGATTGGTTTTTTTTTCTGGAACAAGTCTTTGGTCAGCTTGGCTTTCTGGAAGAGCTGGTTTGTCACAACCCCTACTTGAGCCCTTCACCATTCAGTGTGACACCTTTGCTGCAAGCCCAGTTTTTACACGGAACGCCTGGTTGGGAGGCCGTGCTGGAAACCTCCAGCAGGATCAGGCCGCGTCCCTGGACGTTCCCCTTCCCTCGTGCCGGCTGCAGCCCGGCCTGTCGCTCCTCGGCAGGAGCGGGAGGGAGCTCTGCTGCCCTCAAGTGCCCGCAGCCGGAGCTGGCCCAGCACGGCGCGGGACTACCCGCTTTGCACATGCCAGGCGCACGGCCAGGCCAGGTGCTGTCGGAGTGGGAGAGGTTTGAATTTGGCCCCCCTGTTCCTTTTCCATGCTCCGTAGCGGGGTTTGGAAGTGATGGAAATGCCTGCATAACTCCGGGTCTGGCCTGATTTGACCTGCCTGTAACCGCGTGCTCCTGGCTCTCCCAGCCCTTGGGAAAGCCTGAACTGGGAACTCTCACACATAACTGTCCACCTGCAGCCCCATCAGGGCTGGCTGCAACCGGATGGTCCAGGAACGTCCGGCTCCAGGACCATACCTGCAGGTGATGGATGAGGCCACTGAGCCTCTACACCCCAAGAGAGGCAAGCACTACGTTTTCATTATCTGTCTGGCCTTTGCAACTAACTGGCTATGGGTTTTATTCCCACAGGGTTGAGACATACACAACAGAAAACAATGAACTCTGGAAAAAAGTGGAGACCTTAGAAAATGCAAACAGGTACATGGAGCTAGACCTGACCCTCTGTGGGTAGGGCAGGGTGGGCAGGAAGGGAAGCCAGGGGAGTGCTGGGGCAGGAAGAGAAAGGCAGGCTCCTCCAGCTCCTGGTGGGACAGGCGCTGCTTGGCAAGGCGCCGGTTTTTGGCCCATGGCAGTAGCGAGGCAGCTGGGTTTGGTTAGCGAGCCTGGAATGTTTGTGTTGGGACGGCCAGGCCACGACAACGCAGTGAGGGGAGAGAGGGAAGGCGTGTTTCTCACATCTCTTCCTCCTTCTCCCTGCAGTCCTTTGGGCTCATTCTGCGCTCCCTATTGGCCTCCAGGCCTCTGGCTGTCTCCAGGGCTGCTGCATCAAGGGAGGCCCCTCATACCAGCCTCTCAGACACACTGTTTCTGCTCTTGGGCTCCTTGGAGGAATACAAGGCCCCAGGCATAATGTGACTGTTTCAGGTTTCTCTTGAGAAAGAGCTGAACAGACTTGGGGAATATTGGGAAAGCCCATTCCTCTAATAAAGGTAGAGATCCCAGCTCCCACCAAATCCAGGGCAACTCCCTGTGCATGTGGTACCCCAGCCCTTGCCCTGGCTCTTCCCTTTGCAAAGCAAGCCCAAGAGTCTCTTTCCCATCTGCTGCCGCTGCTCACCTGAAAGGAGGAAGTTGCTCCCACAGCCCCCAAGCAGGCCCCAGGCTCCCTCCCCCAAAACTCTGGTCAGCACTATTGCTTTTAACATGCAGAGCTGGCCAACTGATCTCCAAGGGAATTTGCTTCCTCGGAAGCAAATAATGAAGACTCTCACTCCTGCAGTGGAGATGGGCAGCAGGAGCTGGAGGAGCGCCCAGCTCGGCTCCCACTTACTGGGCGCAGCATGTGTGCGGCAAGGGCAGGGTCAGCTGCAGGTCTGGTGAGGGGGATGCTCATTTCTATAGCCCTGTTTCTAGCACCCCCAGCTCGAATCGAAGGGGAGAACCACAGCCTTAGAGCCAGTGCCCCCACCCGGCCCTCTGCTGCCACTTCAGCTCATGGAGTACTCCTTAAGGCTGTGCCACACTCCTTCCTCCCATCCATGACACGAGTGCTGTGGTCCCGGCTCCCGGACCAGCCACTGATGCCGGGACTGCCAGGCATGGTCTGGCTGAGCTGTGTGAGTAGCCAGAGCCTCCCATGTGCCGGAGACACGGCTGCCCCGCTGCTCTCATCCATGGGGCACAGCCTGCCCCTCTGCCTCTCTGGGAGCGCAGGCAGCCCTGCTGCTGAAAAAGCATGAGCCCCACCCTGCAAAATCAGGAGATTGGCCTAAAAGCCAGGAGATTTTTTTCTTCTTCATCTTCAAAACACACAATGTGTTCTTTCTAATTGAGTTTGGGTTTTGAGCGCTGCCAGTGGGACGCTCTGTGCTTCTCTCCACATGTACAAGGAGCAGAAAAGGATTTGGAAAGAGGTAAAGCTGGGATTCTCCTGCAATCTCCTGGCTCCAGGACTTGGCATTTTATAAAAGCTCAAACATACTTGTGTAAAACAGTCAGCGCTCCCAGGGGGAAACTCGCAGTAGTCTGCATTTCAGTAATTTGCAGCCCTTGGGAGCCGTGTAGTCACCCTCATCCCAGATTTCTTTACCAGCCCAGTGAAGGGTTCCGTGTTCTTAGTAACACACCTACTGCTTCTTTGTGTTTGTGTGTGCCAATGCCCACTTTCAGTTAAACGGGGCAGGGAGACCTTAGCACGTGTTCCAGCCGGGGCAGCCAGAGAATTAATTAATTGCTGAACTCAAGATTTGGCTTTGCCCACATCCCTCTGCAGAGTTTGCCAAGACTGAAGAAGCTGGAGGGGATCAAAACTGGGTTTTATTTCTCCTTCCACCATATGGTTTGGGGCACAAGTCAAGCTGCAGAGAGTGTGTCTCTGAGTGAAGTGGGAGAAGGCAAGGCCTGTGCTCAAGGTCTCACCTGCTGCAAAGTTCAGCCTCCGTTCCAGGGCTTGGTTTTCATGGTAGCCTGTCTCTCCATTGCTTTGGGAGATGACTGGCTGGACTTGGAGGCATCCAGGAGTCCTAAAGGAATGGGGCAGTCGTAATGTTGGGTAGCTGCAGTGAAGGTTGTAGTGGATCTACTGGTGAGGAGACAGAGGCTGTTCCCTCAACACCTTTGGGGTGTTCCTCCTGCAGTTTCTGCAGGCTTTATACCTCAAACTCACCCTTTTTTGTTTCTTGCATTCCAAGCCTGTTTGGTCGAAGAAATTGGGCAAGATATACCAGGGGGGAGATAGTTGTTTTCACAAGAAGGGAAAACCAGGGTAAAATATGAAAGGAATAGTGGTATTCTTGCATCGCTTACTGGCTTCTACCTCCTTATCAAGTTTTGATTTGGGTTGTTTCCTATCCCAGGACTCTGCTCCAGCAGTTACAGAAGTTGCAGGCTCTGGTAGCTGGGAAAGTCTCCAGACCTTACAAAATGGCTTCCACGCAGACCGGGACCTGCCTCATGGTATAAGCTTCATTTCCATCTTCCTTATTGGCCATGCTTCCCCAGACAGCTTTGTCGAGTGCCTGTCTCTGCCCTTGTCCCCGCTGCCCAGCTCTGTTGCCAGCGACATCTGCTCTCTCCTTTTGTGATAGAGACACCAGCACGGGGCCCTGTGTCATACGTGCATCGGTAGTGTCAGTTGTTCATGCAACAGCGTAAGAATAATCCCTGCATTTTCGCTGTCTTGTTCTTTGGGCAAAACAACACTGTTTGCATTTCATTAGCTATCGGCCATTCAGCAAAAATCTTCAAAGAGCTTCCATCGTAATGGGTAGAGTTGTCTTTTGCTGAGTTGGTAATGCGTAATGTTTAACTCAGCAGGGTGGACGAACAGTTCAAGCATTCCTCCCAGTGGGCATTACCTTGTGTTTATCAGCAAAAAATGGCATCTGTTCTTGCTATGACTGCACATCAGGCTTTGTTATATCCAGCTGAAAATCTCTTCATTTGCCCTTTCAACTAACCAAAAGGATTTGGGGTTGTCTGTTGGGTTTGGTAATCCCTGTTTGCCTCTCATTTCTCATAGTGGAGGATCATGTTGGCTTCACTGTGGAGTTTTGGGGCATGCCAGTGTGTGGCCATGAATAGAGTCAGTTGCTTATTCTTCATCTCATTTTTCGCCAGGGGGAAAGTTTCTGATCCGCGATAAAAATATAACCTTCAACCCTGCGATGTCTTTGCAGGATTGTCATAGTAGCTGCTTGTGACATATTTGTCAAAGTTATCTAGTTACCACTGCTGTACTGTGAACAGCCATGAAACACAAACAGATGGTGAGGTGCTCGCCCCACTTTCTCCACACCCTCAATGTCCTCAGGGGTTGTTTTTTGCTCTTGGCTCAATCAGTTTCCTAGGTTCCAGAGCCCCTGCTCTGTATTTTCCAGCACTTTCTCCATTCAAAATCTGCTTGAAGTTGTGCTACTCTTTGCTGCCCCCATGTCAGATCAGATTTTAATGACTGCCTTTTCTGTTGGCTGCTCTGTGGCTTCACTCCAATGTTCTTTCCACATTTTCGGGTGTGACCCAGCTGGGCCCAGTGACTCATTGCTCCTTAATGCAGCAGCTCCTCAGAGCACCACTGGCTCCAGCAATTCTTCATTGCTATTACCTGGAATGAGCAAGTCCAGCAGAGGTGCCTTCCAGACATCTCCTGTGCTATAGGCTGATAAAATCACTAATTTAGCTTCCCAACAATGTCTTATCTCTCCTTGCTGCTCCCTTCCTTCCAGCCCACACACCAACTCTTTCAGGCTTCTGAGCTTTGAAGCATTTCAAGAATTTGTAATTTGCTTTTCTATCTTTGGCCAGTTCCTTTCACAGGCCTTTCACAGAGTTCCCATTTTCCCTTTTCAAATACAGCTCTCCTTATCACCACAGGTATGTAGAATCATCATGCCTTGCAGCATGGAAGCAGAGTACCCTTGGAGCAGAGTACCCTTCTTTTTTAGCCCTGCTGGGTATTTGTCCAGCCAGTTCTTCAAGGCCTCTAGTGATGAGCAGTCCTCAGCCTCCTCAGGCAAACCATTCCAGTGCTTTGTTATCTTTCCCAGATAAAGCTTCCTTGCTATCTCATCTCAGTCTTCTTTGCAAGGCTTAAGCCTATTACAACTTCTGCCCACTGTAAGCATGATCGGGTTACCCTCCCTTTGTGCAGCTGCATTTTACATACTTGAAAACCATTGTTTTTGAGCAACTCCCTTCAGTCTGCTCTGCTAAATCACTGTGATTTCTTCAGTCTTCCCTTGTAGGCTGAGACACCGAATCACTGCTTGTTCCCAGAGCTCTCTTCCAGACTTTCTCTGGTTGCCCTGCATCTTTTTGGAAGTATGGGGCCTAAAGCTGGACACAGTGTTCCACCTGAAGACTGGCAACAGTGCCAGCCAGCCAGCCAGGAAGCCTGTTCATACTGCCCAGGCTGAGATTTGCCCTTTGCAAAGTGACACTGATTTGTGCCCGCCTTATGCTCCTTTTTAACTCCCAGATCCTCTTCTGTAGATGAGCTGCCTGACCACGTCGTTACTGGCGTGTTTCCTCTGTTAATCCGTCCTGCCACCTCGCGGATCTCGGCATTTGTCCTTAGGATCCGCCCGCTGGTCTCTTGAGCAGCTTCTCCCTGTGGTCAGGATCATTCTGAATTTGAATCCTCACCAAAAGCCAGTCTTCTTGTAGTCTCTCCCATCTGCAGCTTTGATACCGTCCATCATCCAAGTCAAGCTTAAAAATGTTGAATCTTGCCAGAGCCATAACGGATCTCTCTGCTACTCCATCTGCTACTTCCTCCCAGTGACTTGACAGTGAACGATTTGCTAACTATGCTCTCAGGACGTCTTTTTTTGATTAATTTTGCCTCCACTTTTCCAACTGGTTTTGCAGCACTTCAGCTTAGTTTCCCTCGCTTTCCAAGAGGTCAAAATGGTGAGATGGACAGAAGCTGTGAGATGAATGATGCTCAGAGTCATACCAAGAATTACTGTTATGAAGTGTCACAGAGTTTGAACTGAAACTGAATCAGAGCATCAGTCAGTGTTAACCTGAAACAAAACAGTAAAAACAGTGCCGGTTTGGAGAGCCCTAGTTGAAAGGCACGTTAAAGCAAGATGTTAATTATACTGCTCTTTCCCAGCCCATAAAGCCTGTTTTGTTTTAGAAAAAAAGAACGGACTTCACAGGGCTGTCTCCCCTTTCTGCAAGTTGTGTGCTTGGCCGTGATAATTCCAAGCAACATAATTTTATTTTTTCCTCCTGTTTTTATGGAATAAGGGTTCTAAATTCATGGTGTGCCTGATAACAATGTGATCAGACAGTGTCTATGCTGTCCACATTTTATTTCCTAACTGTAAAGCCAGACACGAAGAGTCTGGGCTGTTAAAATCTCTTTGACGTAGCGTAGTATACCCATGCTATTATTTCATCTTCCACATCTGCTGGAATCCACTGGGGGTCACAATTACCTTGATGTAGCAGCTTCTGCGTGATACTTAGGTATAGCTATTCCAAAACAGGTGGCTATTGTGAAAAGGAGTCAAGCAATTGCTGGCTGTCCCCACAGGTCAAACTTAGCTGGTTTATACCTAGTAGAAATCACCAACAGATAGGTGCATTGCCTCTTTGACAGTGAGCAGCCTGAGCACTGAGCTGGTGGCAGCTACGTTATGTACCACCCGTGGCGCATGGGTATTTAGGTAATAAATGCTCGGCTCTGTGTCATTTCCCTTGTGTCCCTTCTTGCTCCGTGCTGGTAGGTCCTTAAACTCTGTTAGATCAGCACTGGCATCTCACTCTGAACTGCTATGGCAGAATTCATAGGCAGGTGCAGAGCTACCAGAGGGATTTCCAGGGAGCTTTCATCTGCCCCTCTCCTTTTATCACTGCCCAGTAGCTCTGACTGGGCTGCTTGACAGCAGAAGGCATGGACACATGGTCCTGCCTATGAGCATGTCAAGCATAAATTTAACCCTTTCCTTGGACTCTCCACCCTTGCTAACAGGCAGTAGGTGGCTGCAGTTCTGCTGTCATTCCTGTCCTCGCATGGACAGTATCTTGACTTCGCTAGGTGCTGTGGTACCTCACAGATTTCTCACAGTGAGTTTGTTTTCTTACAGCCTGCTACAACTCCTGCTGAGCCAACGGTCAGGTTCCCTTTGGTCAAGGCAGAGTTCATCCCTTCTGTTGAGTCTCCCTCTTTCTCAGCTTGTTCCCCTGCTATGCCTTCCACCATCTGTCATCAAATGGATGGGAAAGTCCTCACCGTTCAACCAGAAATACTTCAAATAAAGAAACACAAGGAAGGCTCTGACTTCCCATCTTAGATTTGCAGCAGAGATTAGCAGAGCAAGTGCTTTCCCTCCCTGGGGACCACAGTGACCCAGTTGTCAGCCTGACCACATGTTCTCACACAGCCTCGTGTTTGTGTGCTATGGGGGGAGTTTTTCCTCATGGCTAGCGGCACTAACTCTCTGCTGATCTTCTCTCTAGGTGCTGGCACTCTGCTTCGTTCTGATCCTGGGATCCCTGATGCCCTGTCTCCCTGAGTTCTCTTCAGCATCACAGACAGTGAAAGCAACACCAGCACCAGACATTTACACAACTAGTAAGAGTGAGTCTAACGTGGTTGCTCCATTTCACCCTGCCAAACTAGTTTCAGCTCTTCTCTGGACACTCCCAGATCAGGGGTAGCATCCTCCCATCAGTGCCTACCCCATATGCTGGGGCTCCATGGGGAGATTTCTGATAACAGCACCTTGTTTGGGCCTGTTGCCATTCTCTGCTAACCATTGTCCCAAAACAGGACAGGTGTCAAAGGAAGGAACGTGAGAGTGAAGTCCCAGGGCCGGTTGAGGCATTAGCCTCCTGAAGCTGGGGGGAGGTGGGCATCCTGCAGGGCAGGCCTCCTGCACATGGACACATGGACAAGGTCATAGCTGGGGGAGAATGTGCTGAAACCACCACGGTGACCCACACCCATTGCAGGAGACCTTGTCCTCATTGTTAACCAATACTCTTCTTTTTTCCAGTTCAGTCACGGAGCCTCCTTTTCTATGATGAGGGTGCTGGCTCCTTAGAAGAGAGCTATAGCTCCTTCCTAACCATGGACCATCCTGAGGGGTGGGAGGCCAAAAAAGGGCAGCCTGAGGAGGGAAGGCCTCATCTGGCCAGGACACATGAGACGGCCAAATATCTGAGCAAATCCCATCTGGAGGGTCCTGACCAGAACCGAACTGACCCAACTCTCACCCACCTCAAAAAGCAACTCCATGAGAGGTAAGCAGGTGGGGGCCACCCTCCGAGCCCCAAAACACAACACCGTGTGTGGGAGTGAGCAGCAGGCATGTCCCCTCTGCTGCAAGCTGAGGAGAGCTGAGCGGCCCGGGGCAGGCAGCTAAAGAGCAGTGGCTGAAGGAGGCCAATGCTGGCAGGGAGCAAAAGACCAAGTTTATTTTCTAGAGCAGAAGTTTGGGACTCCATCAAGCTGTGTCCCACGAGCATAGAGCTGAGGAGGGCTGGGTGGTTCCGGTGGTCCCAGGCTGGCTAGTCGTTCAGTGCCCTGGGGGAGTGCTCCATCCTCATCAGAGCAAACCAGCTAGGCGCACAGGGAGGTGAATTTGCATAGGAGGCTTCGATCAACCTCGACTGATGCCTTGTCTTTTCTTTTCCTCAGAGAGACCAGCTCCAGTGAGACAGCTGAATTCTTGTAGCAGCTGCTGGACCTCAAGGCCTCGCCTGTCTGATTGCAGGATTCCCTTCTCACCGAGCAACTGAGGGACTTGGCAGGAGAGGACGCTGCATTCAGACACTCTGAAACTGGCCTTGGGTTCAGCTTCTCCCACTCCCCATGCCCCCCCGTTAGTACTGATCTGAAGGGAGTCGCAGGACTGCCAGAACCAGCAATAAACGTCTGGCGAAGCCCTGAGATGCCCTCTTCTCCTGGCCTTACCTCCTGCGTAAATGAGCACTACCCTATGGATGTGGGCTCACCTTGGAGTGGAGGGAGATCAGGGGAAGCCCCCAGACTATTCAGCTCACTCCCCAAATCCTTCACACCACGGGGGCAGTCCCCAGGCATGTACTCCTTGGCTACATCAGATGCACCTGAAGGAGAGAGAGAGAGAGAGAGAGTGCTGGATTTACTGTCCTGCCTGGGGGGCTTAGGAGTGGGTGATGCTGGTGCTGGAGAGATGGCTCTGGAGAGTTTGAGCTCGTTCCTTCCCCTCCATCTGTTGTTAGTATACTTTTGCCTCCCTTGAGAGAAAACGTAGTTCTTCCTTGCCCTAGTTTTCTCTTGATGGACATGCCTACATAACTTCCACACCAACTATCTGCAAAGATCTGCACACAAACGGAGTGGGGGAGACAGATCCCAGACAGATAAACCACCGTAAAAATTTGACAGCAGCCTCTGGGCAACCAGAGCTCTGAAACAGAGAACAATTTTCCCCCACAACCCACTTCTCCCCGCCCTCGGCAGCCTTGCTTTGGCTGTCGTGGTATTTCCCTTTCTGTTCCCAGCTTGGGCCCTACAGTGCAGTGCTAACCAGGTCAGTGGCCTTCTCACCTGCCATTCTGCAGGCCCCCCCTCTGAGAGAGGGTGAGAGAAACCTGCTCCCATAACCTGAACCCCGTCCTGGCCCTCCATCCCCAACTCTGCTTCCTGCCCAATGGGGTCTTTCTAGGAGCCACCGAGGAGAGCTCTGCAGCCCAGTGGAGGGCTGTTGGACAGCTGTCATTCCCCTCACATCCTCCGTGTGCACAGCAGTGTTGTGAACGCCACTGAGGGCGTACTGGCATCTCTGGTGGCAGGTACGTCTGTCAGGAGAGAGAGGCGTGTTGGAATTGTCCAGGGTCACCAAAGGCTGTTGTAGACCTCTTCCTTCCAAGTGCTGGCACCACAGGTAGCAAACTCTTGCTGCACCACCCTTCAGGCTGGACGTGCCAAGTTTGGTGCTGAAATGACCTCATCTCAAGCCTATGCCATCCTCTTTAGCACCCAGTCACCCATTCCCGACCCTTCTTCCTTCCCAGCAAAAAACCTGCTGAAAGGCTCGAGTGCCTCCTCGCTCTGTTCCCTCAGCTGCCATTTGATGGAAGGACGAAGTGGGACATGAGTGTTGGAGATCTGGGATGTGGCAGGTTGCCCACGTTTGTATGCGGGGGTCCCTGTGCACTCTGCCCGTGCTCCCAGCAGGCTCCCCTTTGGCTTCAAGCACCCTGGACCCACTCTGCACTGCCCCGGCCCCTCCTCTCCCCCCAGGCTGGGAGTGGAGAGGGCTTCTCGGAGAGGAAGGATGGGATGGCTCTTGCTCAACAACTGGGAGAGGTGAGGGAAGGGCCTTCACATCCCTCTTTTCTCCTTTTTGAAAACCAGTTTTGCCCCCTGAAGCCGTTCAGGACAAATTTGGACACAGCTAGCTGCAACCATCCATGCGTGGCCAGTGAGGTGAGGAAGAGGAAGACCCTCAGCCTGGCTCTGCTCTCCTCGAGGTTCACACAGGACCCGCCGGTCACCAGATACCACTGCGTCCCGCATCCTCCGCCTCCACCCCAGCACAAAGAACCACTGCCGGGTCCAAGCACGCCCTCCTGCACCCCAACACTTCCACTGAGCACGTCCCCGTGCCTCCCACTCCCACCGTTGTACAGAGACCAAGAGCAGAACTCGTTTGTACATAATGAACCTTATTTTGTATTATTGCCGATCCCTTAAGATATTGTATTTTGGAGACTCTCAGATCCTATTTTCAGTATTGTATTTTATTAAGAATTAGTGCGGGCTTGGCACCTATGAACTTCTTCCTTGTTAGCAGCTCACTTTCCCCTTATACTCCAGCAATTGCCTCTTCCCTCCTCTTTGTTTTGGTTTGGGTTTTTGTTTTGGTTTGGGTTTTTTTTTTCAAGCCACCTTTTCTCCTCTTCCTATCACTCGCTCTGCATTTGCTTAATGAAGCAAAATAAAAATAAAATAAAAAGATGCAGCATCATCCCTGGGCTGAGGGGTCCTTTCATTGAGGCACAGCTGTCACGCCAGCTCACACGCACAGCTCCTCGCCTCCAGACCCCCTTCCCCGGACACGTGCGCAACTGGTTCCGCGCTTGGACCTCCTGCTCAGGGGCTAGAAGCAAACTGGCTTGTTTTATTCCCAGTAGCACTGTGATTTCTTCTGCAGTTCTGAACAAGTGGGAAATGTCCTGCCTCAGTTTCTTCTCCCCCTCTGAAATACCTCTAACATCAACCTCTCGGAAAGGGGAAGAGCATGGAAGGGATTCTACGAGGTGCAGTGAGCTCCTCGGATGAAGGGGCTGTGCGGGAGCCTGTACAACAAAGACGTGGGTAGTAGCACCATGGCTCTGGTCCCATTCCCTCTGAAAAAACACACTTAAATCCTTCCGTTAGCTGTGAAAGCCAAGCAGCTGCGCTCCGATCGGTAACGACCTGGGACCTGGATGTCTGTCAGCCTGTACCCCGGTTAGTCCATCTGCATCCGCGAAAACTGAGAGGCTTTGCACTGGTTTTGTGTTAAACACAAGGCAGGGGGGGGGCGCGTCTAGAAAACAAACCTTCATTTCAAGGAAGCTCCAAGCGGGTTGGTTAGGATTTGGCCATCAGGAGGACTTCTTCCCACAGTCAAGCCCTTCACAGCTGGAAGGCAGCCCAGGCGGGAGATGCCAAAACCTGGCTCCGTCTCCCGCCTCTGGCTGGACTAGTACAGCAGGCTCTGTCTGTGCCACAGGAGCAGGACACGAGGCTGGAGCTTGCAGAGATCTCCTTCTGCCAACGGCCATTTCCCTGTGGAGAGGAGAACAGCACCGAGCTGTTGCCACCCCACTGGAACAGGGCTGGCCATTGAGCAGAGGGAAGAGCGCTCCCTTCCTGGCTGGGTCTGTTTGCCAAGACGGGGTTTGACGTGGGATCCAAGGTGGGTCAGTCTGACACGGGTTTTACAAACCCCACAGGGCTCCCTTCCCCTCCGCACAGCCACGGATGCGCGGAAATGCCTGACCTTGCCCCGCAGTTTGAGTCCCGGGACACAACTAGTTTGAAGTTGAGAGTCTCACATTTTCTCTGCAGCACCTTGTCCAAAAGCAGCCTCCTACCCCTGCATCAGTGTGATGCACCTTCTTCCACCACGCGGCCAGCCTCCTCCCCGCACCCACCGGATTTCGGCCGAGGGAAGGGCTCCTGCTTTGCTCACCCCTGTGAAACATCACCCAGCAATTCGGGCATTGCCTTCTGGGGAGACTCTGACCTGCGCCCTTCATGCACGCCCCAGAACATCACGGGAATCGGGTGCAAGAAGCGAGCTCATAAAAGGAGTTCTCAGGCTTTGGCTCCTTCAACACTGATGAGTCTGGAGCAACCAGAACCCGCGTCCATCGGGGGCAAGTTTCCCTTCATCTCAACAAATCCTCCTAATTTTGCAGTCCACCAGAAAACTCCGAGTTGCTCAGAACAGGCCCATTAGGATCTTTTGATCCCCGCTATGTCTCCCAAAACGCAGCCAGCCAATCACACCTACCAATTTGGCTACAGCGACACTGATTAGAGCAGAACAAGAGAATGAGCAAAGGGAGAGGGCACCTTCTTTACAAGTCACCTTCAGCCTCGCTCAGTTAGGCTGGGTCCTCTCCAAATGCCAAGCTCCGCCACACCAAGCTGGGCTCTTGCCCATTTAGGGTCATGTTTCTAACAAGCCTCTGCACTGTCGATACGGACGAGCCCTGAACAAAAGAACGCTAACAGAACACGGGCTTCGTTTTTCAGGGACAAATTATTCCCAACCATTCTATGTTACCAGGCCAACTTGGGGAAAAAAAAAAAAAACAGAGAAAAAAGAATTGTATTTTGCCGCTGTGGCCAATGGCAGCACGTGGCAGCAGCCTGATGGGTACGTTGGGTTTGTTACAGAAGGACGTGTGCTATTAGGGCTTTCAGGAGAGCGTCCCTGCTCTCTGAGACCAGCGTGGTCCCTCTTGCTGTCACCGCTGGGGACTGTGCTAGTGGTTCTCACACGGATCAATTATGGGATCGGCAGGCTTTGGTCCTGCTGCCTGGGCTTTCAGACACCTTCTGGGGAGAACGGGGCAGTTGGACTCCTGGGTGCTGAGGGCTTGTTAACAGCAATGGCACCTGGCTGGATGCTGGCCCAGCCCGCCTCATCCTGAACAAATTGTGTTGCTTTTCTAACCTCATGGCTGAAAGGGGCCTTACAGGTGAGCAGGGTGGAGGTTCCTCTTCTTGTGCCCAGGGGAGGTGACTGTACCCTCCCAGAGCTTTACTCACTAGAAATGCTGCTTCCCGGAAAGCCTGTGCACTGCCTGTGCCTGCAGAAGTGAGGATGGGGTCTGTGTGGCAGCCCTTGCTCTGCCCCATGTGCCCGTGCAGAAGGAAATCCCTACCCAGGGCACAGGACAGGCCCTCCCCTGCCTGTGACCCAGGTAAGCGGGTGACCTGGCCAAGGGTGCCTTGGGTGCCAGGAGGACAGGACTGACCCAGCCCCACTGCCCAGCCATCTGCCCACTCTTCCCAGGTCCTGAGGGAGCTCTGACGGCATCCTCCAAGGGAGGGGTGACCCTTTTAGTGACGGACATATGAAGCGCCCTGCAGAGACAGGTGGGCAGAGAGAAGCCTGAGCAACCCTTTACCGCCCCTCATGCAGGCACATCCTGTGATATCTCCTCTTCTCCAGACGCACAAAACCCG